TCAATCTAATGAGAAAGTGTCCTTCGGACACAGAAATTAGAGGATTGTTACGAGACTGAGAGGCGTAAGCTATTTAAGTTCATAGATCTTAAGTCTAGATTAAGGAAGGATCTAGGTGGGGTTCTTACTTTGGATGATTTTCAAAAACTCCAGAGCATGACGGACCAGAAGTCACAGAGGGTTCGAGATCTGATAAATAAGCGGCATGGCAAGAAATTGCTTAGCTATGGGATAATAAGACAGCGCAAAACCAAGCCAACCCAGGCAAATTTTGATGGTTCTTTATTGAAGGCATCAACTGCTACAGACGACGATAGAACAAAGATAGTAAACCTATATTCAATCCCTCTTGATTCTGAAACTACGTTTCTCTTAAAAAAGGGGTTAAATTTTTGACTAGGTAATGAAGGAAACATTCTTAGTGATATTGTGGTGGAAGTTGTCAGCATAGCGGATAAATATCCAGAAGATACAAGGCGGGAGATGGAAGTGAAAAAAATCCCACGGATCCTGACACATCAAGAACTGATACACAAGAACAGATTGGCGGGTATTCGGAAAAAATTACAAACGAATAATCAAATAGTTCTTCAGTCGGATAAGGTGGGGAGCGATGGTTGTAATGGACAAGAAATACACCGTACCACATTGAATTAAGCAAGTAAAAAATTGTGATAGTGAAGGGGTGTAGGAGGATATAGAAAATGTGAATAGGTCATGGCAAAAGGGGAGATACCATAACTCTTTAGCACACATTTGGTCAAAGGATCGGCTTCACTTGTCTCTTTGACGAGTTATAATATGGTGCTACGAATGGCAAAACTCACTGACGATGCCGACTATGATGTCGGCGAAACGTCTGGGAATTTACCATGTCCATGGTCCGACTTTGGAAATGATTATGCATACAATGGACTATGGACAAGGTGCGTTTCTCTAATTCTTCCTACCAATATGACTAAGTTGCGAAAACAAGGTCAAACAACTTCTAAAAATTATTGAGTTTGTGAAAATTATTGAGGAGCAGATACTTTCAGAGGAAGATAGGCTAGTTGTGTTGTAACTATATGACAAATATTCCTGTTTAAAGAGCTATTCAGGCCCTTTTCCAAACTCTGGAGGAGTATTCAGAGTTTATAGAAGGAATACGGTTAAGTATAACCTCTATTCTTAGACTTCTTAATTTATCCATTAGTATTAGCTATTTTACCCTTGATGGTAAGTTTTATGAACAGACACAAGGACTTGCGACAGGATCTTGCTTAGCTCCAATCATGGTGAACATCTATGTGGTCAAACTTGAAGAACACTATCTGGAACAGGCAATAATAACCCATAAATTGTCGGTAAGCTACATGGATGACTATTTTGTGATCTGGTCTCATGGTAAGGAAAGCTTAGATAGTTTCCTACTCTTACTTAAAAAATTTGAAAGGAACGTTAGGTTCACGATTGAAATAGAAGAGGATAGATTCTTACTCTCTTTGGATGTTCTGACCATTAGAGAAAAAGGTAAGTTAGGAAGAGATGTTTGTAGGAAGCCAACATATGTTGGATATTTGCTGCATTTTCTTACCAACTATAGTTACAAAACTAAGGTTTGGAAAATTGAAAACAGTGATTATTAATAGTATGAGAGTAGCGGATAGCAACCCTTTGACTAAAGAGTTGGAATGGCTTAAAAATTTATTCTTGGAAGGTAATTATCAATTGGGCCCAATTGTAACTAATATCGCAATACTAAGGAATAAATTTTCAGACGGAGACAAGTTAGACAAAGATAGACAAGAGGGGACCTTTTCTTATGTCCTAATTTTTCCATCATGCCTTCTTTCAAAAAAGATAGGAGAACTAGTGGGAAAGTGGGAGATGAAAACGGTGTTCAGAGAAACTCTCACGCTTTCTTCAGTTATGCCAGTTTTAGATAGAATTATTATCTATTATCGTGATCTAGATGCTACAAGATTGTATGCTCCTGTGGTCGGCATTATGTTGGTGATACATACAAGCCCTGTAACCTGACTTATAGACTTGCAAGCTTACATCACATTTTCTCAACCATATTTGCTTACGAACTTACGAAGTTTCTGTCAGGGCTTTTTCTTGGGTCATTAATCCTTGATGACCAAAGCCTGACATTGGCCTTTTTTGATCACTTTGATTTAGGACCGGTATTGCGTATAAACATTAATACACACATACACAACTCGAGAAAAAGTAGCAGGACCAGTATGAAATATAAACAGCAAAACCATCCTATATCCATTTGTACCTATTCAGTTTCGTTCTAACTTATGAGTATAAATAAGAGGTAAAATAGAGCCGGATAATCTTCTTGACCTAGTGTGAACGCGAGACTTTTATAAAAATGAGTTCCAACTCTGATGATATCCATTATATAATGGACGAAAGCTTAGCCCGTTTTCACCCAACTCGAGGGAAGATGTCTCGTAGGCTGCGTCAACCTGAACGCCGTATTAAAGCCAAACGGCTGCAGTAAACTGATTTGAGCTATCGTCTCCTGGTAAGATCAAACTACGAATCTCTCCTTCATGGACTTTCATATAAAATGAAGGTCTCTTCAACAATAGAAGCAATTACTTTAAGGGACAATTTAGTCTATAGAATGTGATTTGAATACATTTTTTAGAAAATGTAGTTGTAATAAAAATTAAAGTTTACGATGTGTGATGTTAAATA